ACACACACACACACACACACACACACACACACACACACACACACACACACACACACACGCGTGTGTGTGTGTAACACATGGGTTTATATTTTCTTCCAATGTAACAACAGTTTTATGTGGAGCAGAACTCAACTTTAAAGTACAAAAGTGCACTATGCGAAGTTTAAGGCTGTTACCCACTTTTTGAAGAACGTAAAGGTTGAGTTACCAAAAAACTTTTTATAAGTTTCAAAGGTTCTTTGATGGGCCTGCAATCTATGTAAAAAATACTGAAGTTGTTTTTTTGTGACTGTAAACATTCAGAGTACAAATTTTGGATGAAATAATTATTGTAATAGATGTTTGGACTAAATATTAAGAACCTTTTGTACCATCTACGGATTATTTTCATTAAAAAGAAAAATCTTAAAGAATTTCACAACTAAGAAAGGGCCCTCGACTCTTACTTGTGAATCATGAGTTTGAATTCCATCAATGAACATTCTTGCCCTTTCACCCATAGGGGAGCATTATAATGTGGTGGTCAATCCCACTATTGAATTAGCATACCCCAAGAGTTGAACTTCAATGGCTGCCTTTTCTGTAGTTTAAAAATTCTAAATTAGGGATGACTAGTCCATGTAGCACTTGTTTAGTTTTGTGCAAAGTTCAACGAAGTAAAGTATTTATGTTAAGGGTTAGAAAAATTAATTCAAACTGTTGGTATGTTTTCAGAATATTCTGTAAATACTGTGCAAAGGAATTGTAACCATGACGGAGAAATATTAAAGTCAAAGGTAAGGGTGTTAAGAACCAAACAGAAAATTCTTTTTTGTAATAGCTATACCATTTAAACCCTTTATGTATTTTTGGAAAAGAAGTAATACAGTCAGTGTAGTGTTATTTATGTAGCAGCTGTTAAATACATCACAATAATTATACAGTTGAAGACCTGACTTGACAATTGTATGCAAATATTTGGGTTTTATTAAACTATTCATTGAATGCAATTACAATAGCTGAAAATATAAACAAATACAAGCCTGTGGACATTAAAAAATAAAACATTTTAAGCTAATGACTGAATGGAAAAATATGAACAATTAGTACATTTTATCAGGCTAAGATGCTGCATTAAAATGCAGATGGTATAAGTGTTACAATCACAAAATATGGTCAAACAATTATCTTTGTACACTTTTGGGTCGTAAATAATCAAGAATAACAATTGTTTTTTCAACTTCCATCATATATTACTATATAAACTAGATGTTTGTAATGTGTGTGTATGTTTATGTATAGAAGGTTCAATGCCTTACCTCAACTCGTATAGCTATCAGTTAAAGGTTTGGGAAACTCTGACTGGAACAACTGAGATGAAAAGAGTAACGACTACAGGCACATCTTAGACTCCGTAATAGCAGTCTGTTCATTCACAGGTGCCTGTAATGTCATCTTTTATTGGATGTGCTTTGTCTATTTAGATTTGAAGGAAGTTAAAAGTTTCTGATTTGAACCAAATCATATTGAAGCTTGATTCTGATACTTAGCATTCGTTTACTATATGAAATAAATAGGGGATCTGGTGATTCCAGTAGTTATTAATGAGAGTAATTACAATATAGGCTTTTTTTTTGTTTTTGTGCAAAGCTTTATACCATTAATTAACTTGCACATAAAGCCACAAATAAATTGACCTCATTAATACTTGTAAGGTTAAACAAAAACTATAAAAAATTTAAATATAACTGATATTCTACCTTCTAAACAAAACTATCCTATGCTGTTTTTTTAAAATTCAAATTTTTAAAACTGAGAAACTTATTTACATTTAATAACTAGATGTAATATGAGTGATTTGCACTTCATAAATTAAAGTCTGGGTGCCCGAAGTTTATATACAGATCTGTTATTCTACGAGTCTGCTTAACCAGTCACAAAGGACTTCCAGTTGAAATAGTGTTGATTAAAACTACGGTCGACTGATGTAACAAAAATAACTGCAACCAAAACATATAAAACAAACTGACTAAAAATTTCAGAGATGTAAGTGAAGTAAAGATAAGGCTTTGAATAACATTTATTGATTATATTAAAAACTGTTGAAATAACTTGAATACAGACATTGTATATTTTAATTCTCAAATGTCTAACATATGAAATACGTTGAATATATATTTCTATGTACACACATGCATATATATGAGAGAGTTGAAGAATATATGCAGGAGTGGCAATAAGTGTTAAGAGAGGGTTGCTGGGTGGAAGATACCTCGGAATGTCTTAGCCTCCCCTATAGACTGCACCCAGTGAAAAGTGTATACTGTTAAAGTTAATTCACTTCCTCAATACTAAAGTACATGTGCACACACGATGTAAATTGCTGCCCCCTCACTAGGAAGAGATTGGTAAAGTATATGTGCACACATGATGTAAAGTGCTGCCCCCATCACCAGGAAGAGATTGGTAAAGTATATGTGCACACATGATGTAAAGTGCTGCCCCCTCACCAGGAAGAGATTGGTACAACTCCTGAATATAATTTCCCTTTTTCTAACCTGTGCAGACAAGAGCTTTTTGCATTATATCGTGGAATTATTTTTTTTTAATTTTGTGTTTAATGATATTCGAATAATTGTGTGGTTCAGTTCGTGTTAGTAAAAGTGTGCATTTTGCTTATAAACTTTTTGTGTGTGTGTTTGTGGAGTTGTGTATACAGTAAATCGGTGACAAATATTAATGAGGTAGGAATCGTGCCTGAGAATCTCCATTCGTATATTTGTGTAATTACAATAGTTGACTTGTAAGGACTTTCAACACTTAAAGAAACTGATCTCCACAAACAAGCCAATCAGAACACTGGGAGTGCAATTCTAGTGACCAATCGGCTGTTTCTGTCAATGGACACATTTTCACTGCTGGTTGCCAGAACATAGAATTCAAGAGTGTTTGACATGTGATGGAATTCCCAAACAGGTGCTATTGATGTTCTTCCACTGGTGCAAAAATTAACTGTTAAATATAGTAAATGGCGATATAAATATTGACAACGAGTCCCACGTCAATCAAAGTTATTGAGAGGAAAGATTAAAATACAGTGCAGGAAACGGATGTTTCGGTGAGGAACAAATGGTATTGGGACTTGTTTGAGAAAAAAAGTCGTAGTTAGTGATATTAATGAAATATTGTCTAAAGTAAAATGGATGGGTGGTCCCATTAAGAGCATTTTGGGGTATTTTATTATAAAGATGTATATACCTACAAAAATATTTTCTTGAAGTTTAAGGCACAATACTGAATAGCATATTACTAGTATAAGGCTTTAAGCTTACCATAAATATCTAGAAATATCAGATGAATTTAATTTATAAAGTTATCCCAAATGTCACCGACTTAGACCTTATTAATGCATGTATCACCATATCGATTGAGTTAGAGTAACATTAACTTATGCCAGGAACATCCCTGCTGTCAAAAAAAAAGCTCTTTTATATATTGTTCCTTCCAGAGAGATAAAAACAAATTGAAATCGGAAGCGATTGAATATACTTGTTTTGTATTTTATTTCAACTTTCATGCTCTTAAATGAACTCCCAATTAGCCCTCAAAATATGCCTATATAGCATGGGGCATTTAGAAATGCAAAGTTTCTGGGTGGCTTTGGTCCCAGAATGTATCAAGATATTTTTTTTTAACCCCGGGCTAACGGTTTGCCCTTGAAAGACTGAAAGAGAAATCCCTTATGAAAGACATAAACAAGGTGGAAAACATATTTTACACTCTAAGAGAAGATGCAAGTCCTTTTTGTAAATTTGAATAAAAAATAAATTCTATATTCACACACTTGCTGGAAATCAAGTACATAATAATCCATTCATTGTACCTTTGTTTTTTTTATATAGAAACCTGCTCAAGAAAATGTATCATTACATCTCGGCAATATTGTTAAATATACATTATCAAAATACCTTCATTTTCTCCACTTGTTTAACCACGTGTAAATTGTATATAAAAAAAACAAACAATAGTAAGCACTATAAATACATGATAATCATTGTGCATTTCTTTTTCATCCACCCACCCCCCTAAATAGCAAAGCGGTATGCCTGCAGACTTGCAGTGCTAAAAACTGGGTTTCCATACCCATGATGGGCAGAGCACAGATAGCCAATTGTGTAGCTCTGTGCTTAATTACAAACTTTTTTCATCCACTTCTTGCCTCTTACATAAGAAACTAAACAGGAAAATGTTTCTTTCATAATTGATGTACATAGGTGGAAAATTAAAATACTACACACACACACGAGAGAGAGCCTACCTCTATGCTTTTATGTTTATAATATAAAATATTCAGATTATTTGAACCAAAATAATTTGCATTTCACCTTGGACGAATTTTTTCATAAAAAAACTTCTGTCCTCTGTCCTGAAGTATTCCATTTTTTTCAATCAGAGTTTTTTTCCTTATAGAATGGAATTGTTTCAAAGCAAACTCATAAAACTCATTTTCCATCCTCCATATGTTAGAACTCCTAATTTTCTGAACTGTTTCTGGAATAGGATCAACTTTGTTGTAGGTTTTCCTTAAATGAGACTTCTTTCCTGTCAAAAGAAATTTTTAAACATTACAACTCTTCCGAGAAAGCACCCAGTAACAGTGTCAGAGATAGGTTTTAAATTGATTATTATACAGAGAAACACAGAAAAACCTGTATGGCTTGAAACTCCTCTTTATCAAGCAGCTCTAAATTTAAATTGAGCTCACCCATTATTTCATTTAGGAGAAGCTTGATCAAATAATTATGGCTTAAAGTTTATGGTGACATTAGTCATTCTGATAGTTATCGGCAAGAAATAGGTATTTTAAAAACTGCTACTCTGACAAGTGACATAAACACCTCATAAGCTAACAATCAAATTACGAATTCAGGTAAAATGTGCACAAAACCTTTAGAATGAGATTTTTTAAATTAATATAAAAAACAACAACAGTTTTTAGATTTATTTTAACACATTTCCATCATAAATGTTCTGTGTATTGCTCACCAACTGCAAAGCATGCTTTGCAATTTATGGGCAACACATAGAACATATGAAATGCTTAAGTGAAACGTATGAAAAACCCTGTAAGCTATAACGACAATACTATATCGTAGACCTCAACAAGTCTAATTTTTACACACCATATGTAAATGATACTAACCTTCTCTGAATTGTTGTGTGGCACCAAGAAAAAATCTTGGAACAATAGCTTCCAAGACTGCCACAAAATCTTCGAGTTCCTCTGTGACACCAACCAACAGGTAATGTTCCACAAGGTTCTGTTTAGCCTGGACCAGAGCCCATTCATTTCCTGGTTGCCTGTTCAAGTTTTTATCAATTGTAGTACATTCACAATGCTACAGTAAAAAAGGAGTTCCATTTGTTTGTTGAAACTTAGTCTCACTCTAGTTTCAAAAATGTATGCATTTTGACTTCTTTAAAAAAAGATTATATTTCTGAGTCACAGAAATATAATGAAATGGAACTTGGGTTTCTCTACATCCAATGAAAGTAAAGATTATTTGCATGATTTAATTTTGTAATGAATATTACCTTACCTGCATCTTTATATTTTTATTTTAATCTGTGCAAAATTTTAATTTTTCTGTTACAAAAACTTCAGTCAAACATGAGCTCTATTTGATCACATCTCAGTGAAGATGAAAAATGATTCTAAAACAAATATACTTTAAGAGAAGGGATTCTAATATATGACAAATTTTAAAACTTCTCACCTTGATAAAAATGAAAAAAAAAACATTATATTTTGAAATAGCAAGTTAACTTTTTTTTTATTAGGTCTAAGACTAATAGTAATCATATGCAAGGGTTAATTGTACTTGTCATAAGACATTAGCATTAGGCCTATTGCATTTTTAATCTAGTCGCTTAGGGATTTTAAAGAATTAGAATAGTGTATAATAATAGAATTCCAACCATATTATATTTGTCATATCCAATACTGGTCAGAACACAATTTATATAAGCCATTTAATATAATAATAATTGTTAGGGTGAGTATGCCGTTTACAATAATAATTGTAATCATTCTTTGCCTGCTTGTAAAAGACATACACTACATAACATAAATGTAAAGCTACAGCTGCTATCTTTAGCAAAAACAAAAGCTTATTTTATACTCAGCATCCCAGGTTTTTGTTTCTTACAGAGTTAATGTAATGGCATTAACTTGCTAAAAAAAACTGTAAAAAAATTAATTATTTGAGATAAGAAAATTGTTTTTTCCTGTTTCAATTACAACTGATTTTTGAAATTACCAGCAATCCACATGAAAACCACAAAAGAAAGGAATCTGAAGCCACATGTTCTCTGGATTGCAGTCCTTCTCTTCTTGCTTCACACATTCATCAAATGTCTGTAAGTGAGTTATATATATGTTTTTTTACTTCATAAACATCCCAGTTTTAACACCAGAATTACAAAATTCTAAATCAATTATGAATCAAATTGCTTGTAAGTCAATGACCATTGGTTACAAAGTTCCAAGTCATACATAGAAAAAATGTAGAACAAAAATACCAGTAATACAGTAGTTAAATCCTACTAATTAATGCTGAAGTACCCTACATACTTTTAAATAGTAAATGAGTAATGTTATACAATTTGTTTTTTATCAAATCTTTGAGTGTTGTAACAGGTAAAAATGTAAAATTACTCAATATGATACATCAATCACACAGGTGACCAAAACTATAAAAACAAATCAAGAATTCCAGGATTAGGTGTTTTTTTTTTTCATTACACAGAATGTGTGATTACAAAATGTATGAAACAAAGACTTTTGAGGATCAGTGAGTTTCACATCTCAATTCAAAATAAAAAATGAAGTGAAAAGACTACTAGTCCTGCAACAAGAAAATGCATTTAATGAAGTTTCATGTATGTACATTTTTTAGTTATTTATTTTTCGATCATACTATAGTCCTAGTAGTGGCAATTATTAGCATAACTTTTGAATTTCAAAGACAATGAATAATAACAATTTGTCATTCTCAGTATATCTTAATCCACCAGTAACTATTATTTTTATTTGCGAGTTCAAACTTTCTCATTGAATGCATACCAAAATTAAAATTATTACTCGGGAAACCCATCCTTTTTGATCATCAAATAAATGAAGTTGTTGCTATTTTTCTAGAATCCTTCCACGTTTACTGAGATGCACTATGAATAGAAGTTGTAGAGTACAGAGATACCAATTTCTCACACACACTTTTGGAAACAGTTAATTAGCTTACAGAAAAAGGCTACTAATGTATAGAAAAGTTCTGCATTATATACACATAGACAGCAAAATCATTCATGGGCTTTAAAATTCAAGTTTTTGTAATAAAAGAGAAATTAATAAAACAAGCTTAGGCACAAAATGCAATATAGAGAACATATATATGTTACATTCGTGAGTTATGTCTTTCAATCTTCATTTTCAAAAAAACATTACATTTGACGCTGTATTTGATGGAGTCAACTTTTTTAATTCATCATCCAGAGAAATGAAAAAATTATATTTTTCAAAGTGAGCTAAATTAAGCATATACTTGCCACGTACACTACACTGAACATTTCTGCTTTCTGGTAATAACCCATACACTGAGCATTCTGGTATTAACGTGTACATTGATCATCTTGTCTTCAGCTACTAACCTTAACAACTGAAGGTATAACTTACCATGGTGTTTCCCTTTCTCTTTCGAACTGCATGAGGCCGAAAATTATCCCCATAACGAAGAAAATAGTAATATGACACTAATCGATCTAGAGGTTTTCGTATTACATTGATATAGATGGGTCTCTGTGTGTATCCAAACCTTTGGGAATAAACATCTGGTTATTATATAGTTACAAACGTATTTTTGTCTTTGAGGAAAATTTTGGTGATCATGATTACCAAACAAATCAGTTATCACAATTAACAAAAAGTACATTTTTATACATACTCCAATACATCTTATGTATTTATATAAAATATGAAGCAGTTTAATAACACAAATAGTGATATAGATTTATGCTCACAAAAAAAAACTTTCCAATTGAGTATTTATTATTGAATATTCTACTATCACAAAACTTTCTATAAATAAAAATTATCGAAGAAAATTTTAGAGAATTTTAAAAGAAAAAAAACATTAGCCCAAGTGGTGAGAAGAACACTTTCCGTGTTGCTTTGTTTGTTTGTAAGTGCAAAGTTCCACAAGATCTCTCTGTATGCCCAGTGTAGGAATCAAACCCTATATATTAACACAGTAACATTTTCTGTTTTGGAAGTCGTCCTGTATATTTTTGACTTTAAACTCTTGTTGCGATAAAAAAAAAAGGCTATTCTTTGCAAGCTTTTGGATCAAATACTGAACTTTTTTTTATAACCACTTGTACCATATAAATGAAATTATTTATATAATATTTACATTTCATATTAATTCTAGTTACAAAGAACAGACTAATGTTCCAATTCTTTTTCATTTTCGTCTGTTTTAGACTAATGATAAAGTACTTGTGAATCTTTGATAAGTAGGATGTAAAGATTTATAAAGGACCAAAGAGTTTAGATACAAACCTAAGAGATTTAAGCATAAGACAACTAAATTTTGGCGTACTCTGTGTATCTAGAGAAAAGTGAGATTTTAGTTGATTTTAACGTGGATCAAACAATGATATGTATTTCTTACAATTTCTGTTTTCATATTATACAGTGATTTAATTCTTTCTCTACTGATTAAGTCTTTGAACATTACAGATTTCTTGTTTCTATTTTATGCATGATAGTAGAAATGTTTATAAGAAATACAGTAGTCTAAACTTACAAATTTTGTATTTAATGAAGTATTTTTAAGGATTTTTTTCATAAATTATTACTTTTTTATTTTTGAGTTTTTTTTTTAGCATGCTTATTTATTGTGTATGGATGAATGAAGTTAACACTGATTTTACAAGCTAAAAATACCATTCAATTAGTAACAATAAACATAACTTTAGAAAGTGTACACAAGTTTATTAAATTATTTAAGGACATTTAAATAAATTTACATTGTAAGCTACACTGACTTTAATTCAAATTGTGATAACTTTTTTTTAAACTTTGAATTTCTTACGTTCAAGAGCTTTGCACATGAAGTCGTTAAGGTTTCATTAATATAATTTAATCTTTTAATCATTTTCTCACCTCTGAAAGTTCAAAAAAGCAACATGTCCATGGTAAAGTGCAGGTTTCTTGTCCTGCCAAGTTGTAACATTTTCTATGAACCTTCTCTAAAAGATATAAACAAAAGGCTTAATCAAATTGACTAACAAAAGCTTCCCTCCATTGTGTTTATTAAGTGACGATACATCTTAAATATAGCTGGGATTCATTTTTCCAAAAGCATTTTCTTGCTCATAGTATGGTGTAGTATTAAGAAAGTGTTGATCAGATGAGCTCGTCCCATGTCTGTAACAATCTATGATGAATATTATTGAGCTTAATAATTACATGAGGTAACCAGCATTAGTCTGTTTGTTTTTATTGCAAAGCCTCATTGAGCCATCTGCTGTGTCCACTATGGGGAATCAAACCCTGAATTTTAGCATTATAAGTCTATATAAACTTACCATTGACCCACTGAAGAACAGCATTAGAGTGTACTGATGTGCTTCGGATACTTTGTCTTTGATTTTAAATCTGTCTCTGACATTTATTTAAGTCGTGATAGTAAATGATAATTCATTTGTGGATGAGATCTGTTAAATGAATGCTATGGTTTATAAGAACTGAATGATTTCTACAAAATGTAAATAGTGAAAAACAAAGCAGAGATCATTGTTTTATAATTAAACATGTTAGGTTTTTCTCTGTGTTGGTGTGCTATCTGATAAATTATTTGGCAAAAAAATATATTTAATAAACTCCAATTCTCCTAGTATTAATGTTGTTTTAGTGTTTTTTTTAATTAGCTTAGAAATTTAGCTAAATTTGAAACTGACAGAAGTACAGTTATGATAGTTACTATAATATTATGTACTTATGAACTTGTACTGATCAAATTGTATGCCATTAATGATAATTCCTGTCAAAAGATGTGTCACTTATTTCTTTATTTCATATTTTAACGATATCTTTTAGTAATTCATATTGACGTATTTACTGCAAAATAGTAAATGTGTCACTGACACATATGTATTATTTTAGAAGTTCAAAACCACAATAATAAGGAAAATAGTGATTTAAATAAGATTCAATAGAGAGTTTAAACTAATTTTTTCTATTTAATTGTAAAATTGTCCACCGATTTTGAAATAAAAATCTCTTGTAACATATATTAAAAATTTACAGAAGACTTTTCAAACGAAATTGTTAATTTTATCAATGTATTTGAAAGGAAGTATTATACAAAAAACAAAACTTTCTAGAGAGGTTTAACAGTATACAAATGTTCTAAGCTCATAGGTAAATGTTTATGCTTGTTTGCAAAGTAAAATGTTCCTATGAAAAGTTTTTGCACTTTTTAATAATGCTTAACATTTTTTGGAAGGAAGTTTTTAAAATATCATTTTTTGTTTTAATGAGTGAATGTACCACAGTGTTTCCCCTACAGGGATTAATAGCAAGTTAGAGTATTAATCAAAAATTTATAGTTCAATAGTAAAAAAACTTCTTTTTATGACAAATTTGAAAGTACGAATGATATTTCAAACTAGTTATGGCTAAGTAACTAACAAAAATTGTTAATTGACACTAAACAATTCATCATGTGTACAAGCAAGTTAAGTCAGCGAGTCGGACAGTGTTTATATTAAAATCATGAAACAAAACAAGAATTCATCTAGTCGGTCAATTAGTAGTGCTACATTTATGTTTATCCTCGTGGTTTAATGCCAAGTATGTGTAATAGCACAATATCTAAATTCATATTTAATGTTTTATTTGCTCGGGTTGGTGGGTTAATGGTGAGTTCAATAAGCTGAATGCCCTTTCATCACCTTGTTTTTCTTTAATATGCTCTTACCTCACGTAACCAATGAGCGACATCACATATATATTTTTCCAAAGAATGTTGATGTAAATATCATAACACAAAACAATAACCTCACCTTATCAGTCAGTAACATCACATATACAGTATTCCATGAAATGTTAATGTCATTATCATGCAACATAATAAGAACCTCACCTGATCAGTCAGTGACATCACATGTACATTCCGGGTTGTGTTGATATGAAGAACATGAAACTTGTTTTGTTTACAGAGATCATAAGCCAAGCCCATTAAACTAGTACTTGCTGTTTTAGGTACCCTGTTATAAATGACAACTGAATCATTGAACAAATCTATTGGACTCTTAGCAAGTCTACTGACAGAACTCAATACATCTCTTTTCTTATCGCAATTCAAACATTTCAGTCGAAGTTCGTTAACAATGGAATCTGAAATATAAGGTGAAATATTTTATTATTGACCAATATATTATTAAAAATAAGATTATGATAGAACTAATAAGTTGTGTTTTCAATTACAACTGCAAAAGCATTAGATGACTTAAATGCTTATCATGCTCTTGGAAGTAATAACTATACAGGTATTTGACCACTGTTTCCAAATTCAAGTTCTTGTTGCATGTTCTGAAGAGTAAAAAAATATGTATAAAACTTTTTAGAAGTAAAAAAAGAAGCTATTTTATTAATTCTAAGAATTTATATATATCATGAAACCTTCAAATAAAAACACTATTTTTGCATCTCAAAAACGGTGATAAGCTTATATTAATATGACTTCTGTTAAATACTCTTCTACTTGAATAAACAGTAGTTTTGTTTAGTTAGTTTGAACAATATTCTATTCTAGGAGGCACTAACATGAGCTACATGCAATGGAAAGAGTGATTTGGTTTAGAGCCTTCTGTCATCAATACTTTAGTGTTTATGCACATGGAAGTCATTAAACATCATATGTAATAACTATCATAACTCAACTGTAGTTGAGGTTAAAAAAAATTAAAGCTGAAAATATAAAAATTACACCTAGCATTTATGAATTTTAAAAACAACTTATTTGTGGAAGTGCAAATTTTAAACAATTAATTGTGTGTTCAGAGCTTTGTATGGCCAACTATCTGACACGGGCTTTTTTTTTCCTTAAAGATATGATGACATATGTTTCAATCATAGTGAAGCTTTGGGTAATTGGAATTTGGCATCAGTAACAAAATAAGAACATTGAAAAGACTTTTTCTCTATGTTACTAATGAACTACTGTTTCCTCATAACAGTGAGCACATGAATTTTGACCAGTAATTGTGAAGTTTAAGAAAAATGTAGAAAAATATTTGTAATAAAAAGGTGTCATATTTATCACTTACCTAATTTTTTTATTATTTTATCCTGATAAGAGATCTTTTTAAAAAAATGAGATGAGAGAATGGTGAAAATAATTAATCCCAAGATAATGATCAACTGTTTCATCTGCCACATCTTTCACATCAATCTGTAACTGCAAGAACTTCAGTCACTGAGATTCAGTGAAATTAAAAAACACCATTATTACTACACATTTTCATGAAAACTTATAATATAACATGTATTACTAGTTTAACAAACAAAAAAAATGTTGTAAGCTCTGTATATTCCTGTTTCATGTTATAAAGAGATAATGTAATTACAAAACAGTTTTGCTCATTGTTTTTAATTGGGTCCCCCCCCCCCTCACAAGCTGTTTTTTTAAACCCCATCACTACAAACTACAAAACATTTTAGGTTCATCTTATTAACTTTTTCAAATTAAATGATGAACAGGACTGGTATTAGCACATACTGAATAATGATAGAAATTTTATTTTTCAATACGGAGAGCAATAAAACTGTGACATGCTGGCGTAACGTATATTTTCTACTTACTTTAGTTATTTAGAAATTTTAAACATTTTCTGGATGTTTAATTTCTAGGCTGTAATTGCAGTAACACGTGTTCCAAAAAGTCATTAAAATTACCTTGTTCCATTTTATCTACTATTTTTGTTCTCTATAGTAGGTAACATCAGAGAAGATTGCAGTAATATATAGTATTCGGGCTGAATGGATTAGCACTGGCCAGATTAACAGTGACCAATACTGTGAGAGAACAAAAATCATGAGGTGACACTATTAATTGGACAAAGGAAGTATATTTACTTCCTGAATTAGGCAAGCTTTCTTTTGGCATTTCTATTAAGAGATTACAGGGTGAATGCATTTCAAAATCATCATGTTTAGTTCAATGGATGTCTATTCAAAGAGAAGGAAAGCTTGGGTCTAAGCACTGTTTTTTCATGTTTACAAGTACCTATGCTGCATTTTCTTTGTCAAATAATAGATTCTTTCATTTTCACAAACTTTGTCCAGTCTCATTATTTTACACACACTAGAAAGACTCGTTTATCTGATCAGAATCAATCTCCTTATTTCCTGAATACATCTGTAGTTCTTTGAAGACCAGCTTACCTAATATTTGTAAGAAAGTCAGTAGTTTTAAATTAAAAATACCATAAAACCATGTATTTAGAGAGAAATTAATGATTTCTACTTAGGCATTACTATTTGATTCCAAGTTGAGTACTTTGGTTTACATATGGAAGCTTCTATTTGGAGGTTAATATCATCCTTGCTTCCAACGAGTCTCTTTGTAAACTTAATTTACAGTATTTAGTTCAGCTTATGCCTATTTACTATACAATGAATATTGACCTGCTATAAAGTTTCATGAATAATTTATAGACAAAAAAGAAGAGGTAGTAAATAAAGACATACAGAACATTGACATCTAAGTTTGACTGTATTCCATTTGGAAGACCTTTGCTACTTATCTACCTCTGTTCTGAGAAAATTATTTTAATGTAATCTTTTCTATCAGTAAGCTCGTGTAAAGTAACTTTTAAAGAACAAAACAAACTATATAAACTACTTATAAATTAATCTAATGAGAATTTAATTAATTTTGACTTAAAAAAAATTACATGTCTTCATCTACACTTTCATTCATGGCTTGTAATTATGCCCCTTAACACTCAATACGTTGTCTCAACTTTAATCTTTCCAAACGTCTAACAAATGATTACCAGGCAATTTATCCAAACCATGAACAATATTGAGCACCAACCAAAATCCCTCTTAATTCTTTTACCATTTCATATAAGATATGGAATTAAAGGATACTTCAGTTTACCAGTTTGGTAATCTTTTTGTATCAAACTAAGGTTTATTTACAAAACTAAGTTATCACATGTTTCCTTAAATAAGAAAAGATGATTAATTTCCACAAGTACTTCTCTTTTCTATAAAAAAATCCAACTTCAGAGGAATCAAAAAAATTGTTCTTAGCTTTTTCAAACTAAACGGGAAAAAATAAATACTACTTGAGAGAGAAAAACTTCATACTTGGCCATGACTGGCTGCTTATTTCATTCTTACAACAAAATATTCTAAGGGTATGGTTGAAACAGCACCAAGTATACTGAATGATACTAATAATGCTTACAGTAGTTCCTGTCCCACTGTATGCTCAAAAACTAAAAACTCATCCTCAGATACATAACCAGGAACGATCACTTTACACAGCTTATTAGTTAACAATTTACACTAGGACATTACCACTTCAAGGTCTTTTGAATTGCTTTAAATTTACTATTCAATGTGACTATGGGAGAACGTCTGTGTTCCATCTTATCAAATGTTAGCAGATTATTTGTATAACTTATAATACTTTTGTATATTTTAATATTGATTACACCTTAAATTTAAAATGTTTATTTCACCATTCTTTAGTATATTGATATATACAATTTACTTATAATTATTTG